CAGTCTCACCCCTTGCTCATTTTGCCAGCCCTAGACTCGAAATTAAAAAGTCCTTTCCGGCTCCGATGACGCATGGTACTTTGAGCGCGGTCTTGACAAGTCGACATATCACATTTCATACAGAGTGTGCGTCTCGCCCTGGCCATGAGTCCATGGCTCCGTAGGGAAATCCGTACTTGGGACCCCACTTTAAACACACTACGTACTAGTTGGAAATGTACTTTTGTGACATTAATTACTGTGCGTCCCGGCGCCTTGGAAAAGATCGCAAGCTCGACGAGCTGAGGCTGCAGTTGAATATCAATCCTCCTCTCCAACCACAGCTCAGATTGTAGATCTAGATAGTCAATTCGTTCTTCTTCGCGATAATGCCTATGATAGCAAGTGGTTGGGTTTGAAATCAGTATCCACATAGCAGCACACCGCACCGGCAAATCCCTGGACCCCTACGGTGACCCAAGGGATATGCTACGGTGTAAGTCCCGCCGACTATCTATCAGAAGTATGCAGGGGGAGGCCCGAGAGCAAGATCTATCCTGGAATTCGGGTCAGCGCTACGGAGTATCTATTTTTTACTCACTACTCCGTCGGGTACTCAAATCGTATTACATATCCCATCTCATCTCATCACATTGATGTCAATGGCGACCGTGAGGTGATGTCGTTTATGAACTGAGGTAGATCGAACCTTCTCTGGAGGATTGGGTCAATAGAAGCGCCTCGCCGCAGCGAAGCGCCGAGTGAACGGGTATGCGCACACCGCCAGAAATGTCGCTTGATAGTAACTCCGTACCCTTGTTCATAAACAAAAACATCAGGCGGGATTCCGTGTCAATATTTGCGAGATCCATCGGACTCGCGCTGCAACTGACTACTACAAACTACGTATCAGCTAGTCCTGCGGGTTTCCTTGCAATCAAACGAGGGTGACTTGGATGGAGACGAGAATATACGGCGTAGTCGCAGTGGATATTTATGAAAAGACCAGTCGGCTACCTCTTTTGCGCTGCAGACCTTACAAGGATTATTCGGAAGAACCATTTCAGGGGCAGCACGAGACAATCCTCGACTTACAAACAAGCCATTCACACATCATATATTTACTACTAGCTCATTGTGATACATAACATGAGAATGTTCGAGATGTTCTCTTGCATCAACTCCACCGGTCCAAAGGACCAGAGCCCGCGTCAATTGACGGGAACTAAGAAGTTGATGCCTTCATTCCTCGGTATAGCCCTGCAGCGCATCCGTCCCTCCATGCCAAATGACGCGAAGAAGACAGAGAACTAACAAGGCTAATTGTTTGCTCTTCCAACGCTCCGTTAAGAACAATCTTTGTAAAGACAAGATGCTCCTGCAGTACCCAAAGTGGACTGCACCGTTGGTGTGGATGGACAGAGTCCGGTGAAGCTAGCTTCAGGATTCGTATGTCACCGAAATCGAAGAATGCACGTGTCTTGCCAATGCGACATTGGGGATGATATTGCACTATAGATGAGCAAAGAATGCTCAATCTTAGCCTATTCAGATGTCAAACCTGAGCGCCTTTGTTCTCACGCCAGTCAGTATCTCTAGCACCCTTGACATCGGGAGAGAAAAAGTCCAGCACATGTATCACAATGAAGATACACTCAAATACCCCTGACCTCCTCGTGAGTATAAAAACCAGTGTCATCAGTACAAGAAAAAAGAAGAGAGTCGTAATGCTGTCGTTACTGTTGATGCATCATTCTTACCAACATTTCAGGATTGTAGTACGTTCATTCATTGATAGTGTGCGAAATAATCTGCCATACCACATGGATAGACTTCGCCATGCTAATTAGTCATTGAGGTGGAAAAGTGCTGACACACTGAATTGGACGTTAGCAGATTGACTCAGTCAAGAATCAGACCGCAGCAGTACAAACCTTTCACCGTAATGGTGGCGTCGGATACTCTCCGCAAGAAGACTCGAAATGTCGATAATAACCAGTTTCTTCGTCTTTCTCATCATCTGGGGAGTTATTGGGAAAGTATTCGTGACGACAATATAGTTAATCGCGTCACACGCTTCCATGTGCTCGAGGGAATCGCCGCCAAAAAGTCCATGTGTAGCAATGCAGTAGACCTGTTTAGCCCCGCCTCGTTTGACCACCGTTTCCGCGGCAGCAATCCACGAGCCACTCTTGTCGATCATATCATCGACAAGGAAAACAGTCCTGTCTCGAACATCACCAACCAGGGTGATGGTCTTCTCTTGCTCGACGCTTCGCCCGTTGCTCTCTTCCTCATCCGAAGATTCAGCGGCATCGAACGACCCGCCAAGAGCATGATCTCCAGGTAGAGAAGACGTCGTCGAGATGAACGAGTTGACCATCGCGTCTGGCACGGACTCGGGTTGATCCTGGCTGGAAGGCTGTCCTGGGGTTGTATGGCCAGAGGCAGGTACCGAGGTGGGACCACCCGAGGGGAAATCATCATCCACAATATGGCCCTGTACAAGTCGGCCAGTGATCACATCACGCACACGTACGTCTGTGTACTCGTGAGCTGCTTCCAACTCTGACGGGCGACGAGCAGCGGGTGGTGTCTCCGGACGCAGTAGTTCCTCGGGCTCTGGGTTGTTGTGTTCGCTCGATTCACCGCCGTGGGAATTCTTGCGCAGGTGTAGGACAAAAGGCTTCGGCTCTTTCGGAATGCTATCATTGATAGAGTCGAAAAAAACAGTACTATCGGTCATGGACGTAGTGACCTTCGGACGGCGTCTGTCGGTTGTGACAATGCCAAAATTGAGCTTCAGGGTGTCCGCAAGCGATGTTACACGCTTGGTACCTCCAGCGTTTTTGCTAACAACGACGGCCTCTTTCCAGCCAGGGACGTTCATCCGAATCCAACGGGCGATGAAAGGCTCGGCAAAGAGGTTATCCACAGGCTTGCCGAAGAATCCTTGCATTTGTGACGCCTGTCATTCAGTCAGACGTCTATTCGTCCGTTATACCAATAATCTGTTAAACTCACATGCAAGTCAAGAGTAATGACGTGGTCTACTCCAGCGACCGAAAGCAAGTTCGCCAGCATCCGAGCGGTGATGGCTCCCCGATGGCTCTTCTTTTTCGACTGGCGGGAGTAAGGAAAGTACCTCGTCCATGTCAGCACAATGCGTAATTCTCACGTTAGACGGGCAGCATACGGCATGACCGCTATTGCAGAATCATGTTAGCTATTGCGCAAGATTTTCAAATCATTTGGCGAAAAGCTCACCTGTAATCGACTTTGCGGAACCACCCTTGCAAGCAGAGATCATGATCAGGAGCTCCATGACACTGTCATTGATCTTCTGACTGCCGCTCTGGACAATGTATATGTCTTGGTTCCGCACGGAAACTCCAATGTCCACTCTTGTCTCGCCATTTGCAAATTTCCCGAGCACTGCCCGAGCGGGGAGTGTGCCTAGACGCTCGCAGATGGTCTCAGCAAGGACAGGGTGGGATGTCCCAGAGAAGATTTGTACTCCCCGCATTGTGACTACTATGTACTGCGAAATGAAGGCATGGACAATGGGGAGAAGGGAGCGAAGACTAGAAAGGAGGTAAGGGTTGTGGAGGGCATTTCAAATGGCCGAGGGAAGAGGAAAAAAGTTTGGCGGAGAAGGGAAAAGGTGAAAATAGGCCAGGTCGTCTTGGGTGTCTCTAGCCCCCCGTACAATGGCCCCGCCAATGATAGATAGCGGCACTTCAAATGTCTCCCCGCGACAGATAACATCTCCGTGAAGCTTCGAAATATCTATCCTATGCTAAAATGTCGCACAAGTACCCTCCAGTCCAGAGAGGGGGCTCCATGATAGTCGCTTGGCAAGTCAAAGATAAACATGTCCTAGTGGTCGGTGGTGGTGAGGTATAGTCTTATGCATGTCCCGCCGCAGAAAAACGGAGAGAGATATATATATATCACAACAGCACTAACGGGGTCATTTAACAGGTAGCTGCAGGGCGCATTCTCCACGCCCTGAACGCCGACGCCAAAGTAACAATCGTCTGTCCTCGCTCAGGTCTTAATGACGAAGTCGCTTTCCGTGTATCCGAGGGCCAGGTCACGCATGTCGATCGCGCATTTGAGCCGGAAGATCTAGAAGGAGCAGATATGGTCCTTTGCGCCATTGATGACCCTGACGCCTCGTCTCGCGTCTGGAAACTGTGTAAGGAGAAGCGAATACCTGCCAACATAGCCGATGTGCCTGCAGAGTGCGACTTCTACTTTGGCAGCATGTACCGTGATGGACCACTGCAAGTGATGGTGAGCACGAATGGAAATGGACCTAAACTTGCAAGTATCATTCGGAAAAAGATTGCAGCATCATTGCCCGACAACATGGGTGCAGCCATAGAAAATGTGGGCAAACTACGCAAGAAACTACGCGAGGTCGCTGCCAGGCCAGAGGAGGGGCCTAAGAGAATGAAGTGGTACTGTTGATCCTTATCTTTCGGATTAAGCTTCCTGCTGACTTATTGGAGGATGTCCGGGGTCTGCGAGTCATGGAGTCTCGAAGAGCTCGTTAAAATGAGCGAACAGGACATGGATAGTCTTCTTACTAACTTCGAATCTGGCAAGATTCCGTCTTATAATGAAGTCCATTCCAGCTAGTTGATACATGCGCAATTTGCTAGTTCAACCGGGGCAGCCTCGACTGTGCCGCCAATATCTGCTTGCCAAGAGTGATGCAATTGATGTATCGGGCTTGATGCCGCTTTACGGCTGCATAGTATCAGACTGACAAGTCTGCTTCGCCGAGCCCAAGTTCGGTAATTTGGTATTGATAGAATAGGTAGACGGTCTGTATTCTTATGATTTGTAAGTCTGAGAATGACAATGCAATATATTTGTTAAGTCTACATTCAACACTCCTCCAGAGTGGGCGACGGAAGTAAAAGGCCTCGTATAGAGTAGGCAGGATATCCAAAAGAAACAAAAGTCAAAGTCCAACAAACCCCGTTTCATCAGAACTCCGACCCCAGACACTAATGATCCCGACTATACCTGCGGGAGTGGTGCTGCGAGATAGAGCTCCTGGGGCTGATGGGTGTCTGCACAGCAGCGATACCCAGCCTTGCTTCTCCGATTCTTCGAAGCAGGGACTGAAGAGCGAGGCGGATTTCCGGGTTAAGGTCGCGGCCCAATAGATCCACCGCTAATGGGTAGAAAGTCTCGACATGTTTATCGAAACCTTCAGACGGGAAGTTGGTGTAGCTCTCGATGACATCTACAACCACAGGGCGCCAGGCCACTATGTTTCGGTGCTGAGAATCTTCATCGAGTCGGCCGAAGCTTCGGATAATATCGGCGCAGAGACTGGACAAGGTTATTTGTTAGCTGTGGTTGGTAACGAGGAAGCCCGTTATACTTACGGAATAAGCGCAGCCTCTGTTTCCCCGCGGCTGCTCTTTCGTTCTTCTCGCTCATCGTGGTACATGCGGAAAAGGATGTGAACATATGTAGCAGCACTGCCACTTTCCTGTTTAAGCAGGTTGGGCGGTTGCTTCATAAAGCCTTGGCGCCAGAGCTGCATCCGGAGCTCTTTGTCCTCGTTGAACTTTTTCGCGAACTGATAGCTTTTCTTGAGCAGCCCCATTAAACGGAGAAGTTCGTGGCTTGGGATCTCAGCATAGACTTTGTCGTTCGAAAACAGTTCGTGGACAGTCTCAATCATAAGTAGCTGAAGCACACAGTTTGTTATGATACGATTGAAGAACCGGCGCCGCGCAACGGTCACGGCAGCGGGTTGTTGTTGGGTTTCGGCCTGCGGGCGGTAATCTTCCAACTCGGGGTTCGACGCGGCAGGCATGTCGCCCTCCTCGTGCTCAGAAGTCACAGGCTGCGACCCATTCACCCTTGGGGCGTCCGATGGAGTTTCCCGGAGAGGCGTTGACTCGGCTGTCTCTTGCTCCGGCTTGTGCAAGTCATCCTCGTTGGATGCCTCGCCGTTCCCGTTCTTGATCGAAGCTGGCTTCGAAGATATCGAGGCGGCGGCTGTGAATAACTCGTAGGCCGTGGTCCTGCTGAAAAGCTCCACGAAAGCACCTACAACCTTGGTCCAGTGTTCCTGCTTGAACTTCGCAACATTTTGCAGAATCAGTTGTTGCAAGCAATTGCTACCGATCCGCGCAATTGTGTCGTTTTCTTGGCAGATGCATAGTGTAAGAAGCTCGAGTATACGACTCAACATATATTCCAGCGCATCGAAATAATGCGTGAAAAGTGTAATCATATTCCTCAAGGCTTGTATCATTGTTGTTGACAGCCACACGGAGAGTTCTTCATGGTTTGGCACCTTGGACATCTCCGATTTGGAGTGAAGGACGACGAAGATAGGATAGAGAAGCTGTCTCCACAAGACATCCCAAAATTCTTGAGGGAAGTCGCCTCCATAGCGGATCAGTGTGTCGAAAAGATAAGTCAATGCTCTGGTTTCCTGATCAGCGACGTTCCCGGAGCAAAGTCAGAACTTGGAACTTACCTTGATCGCACCTCAAGGTCATCACCTGTCATTAATACATCCTGGAAGGCAATCAAGATAGGATACCAGAATTGCTCTTCTTGAGACTGCCGTGATAATTGTTTGGCCAGGTTCGTTCCATCGTCCTGACCGCCTTCCGATGTAGTTCCACGGTGTGATAGAGGACACTCCGGTGTCCTGAGCATCTTCGTGACAGTGGACTTCAAGGTCTCGATCGCTTGCAAAGACTTCTTCTGGAATCTCATGTTCTTGGAAAACTCCGTGAGGCAAACGATTAGGTCAGGGAAAGCTCCCTGTGTAATGACCACACCGAACCGCGTGTTGTAGATTTGAGTGACATGTTCGAGCGCCATGTTGACAATGCCCTCTTCTAGATATTAGCATCCCCATCAATTAAATTTTACGCGATAAGAGACTCGCTCACCGTATGGCTCTCGGGCAGCGACTGTGAAGACGCCGAACATTGTTTTCCAGCCTGAGCGGATATTATCTCCACGTGCTTGGATCATCTGTATCAGGCATCGAAGGATCATATCCTTCACAGTAACAGCATTACTATTGGCCATCACATGCTCAAACGGCTTGAGAAAGTCCTTTTGGAATTTGAAACCAGGAAGCTCTTCGATCTCCAGAAAACGCATCGAAAGCTGCCGAAGGGAATCCAGTGCAAAGAACACCACGGTAGTGTTAGTGTGGCATCCAACCTGATTGAAGTGTTGTCCAAGAACTTCCCAGATCTTCGACCACTCTATCCTGACCCTGGTCATGTTGTAATAGCTGATTTCAACGAGCTTCTGCAAGCTGTATGTTCGAGGGGACTCTGTCTGACCCGAAGATTGAATCTCCTGCCAACTCACTTCGCTTAAAGCGCGAACAAAGTCAATGATAGCCTCATGAGTGAGATTTGCGGTATTTGTGAAGATGCGATCCACTCCGCGTATCATTTCTGCGGATCGACTTTCCATAGCAACCTCAGAACGGAAAGCTGTAGGTCCGTTTACTGACCGCGGACGGGGAGGACGTCTTGATGCCTGCATAGATCTGCGGGATCCATCAGATGGAGTTTGTGGTACAATACGGGCGCGTGATGGATCGGGCAATGAACCTTCATCAACGCCATCAGTGAGGAGTTGAAGCCGGTCGAGCTGGCTGACACAGGTGAGGACTTCTCTCCAGGAACTTTTCAGGTTGTTCCCTTCGGTAAGCGCCACGTCGAGCAGCGCCTTCAAAGCCTCAACATTCTTTGGTACCATCTCCCTGACATTGCCCAGATTTGTGAATTTGGCAAGTCCCGTTACGAATGCGACCCGGGGAGTCTCCAGATCAAAAGCGCAACTGATACGTATCGCCAGTTTCATTCCTTCCATGCAGAGCTTAATGGTTTCAATATTCTGTGTGTCTTGCATGGGAGCAGACACCCCGGAAAGGAAAGACATCCAAGTCACGTTGAACATAGATCCAACATGCCGTACCGAAGTCGCGGGGATGAAGCGTGAGAGGGCCTCTCTAACGGCCGTCTTCCGCTGCGCCCTAATCAAACTTCGATAGAGCTGCTCCGTCTTATTGGCCATTTCTTCAGATGCTTGGGCATACTTTTCGCCTTGGATGTCCCTTCCTACCGTTGCGAAGACCTGTCCTGCCCTAGAAGCTAAGCCGCCTGTGGTGGACGTGGGAATGCCCAGATTTGCAGCGTGCTCTCGTTCAGTGTCGAGCACAATCTCATTGTTCGCGATCTCATCAAATATGGACCCCAGATACTCATCGGGCAAGTCTTGGTTATCGTTGATGCCCCGATTGTTCTTGATGAAGTCCTCTTTAGTCATGCGGCGACCCTTGATCTTAGCGCTATGCTGATCTGTATTGAGCATAATGACCGAGTAAGCCAACACGTACGCAGTGTCTGCATTGGCGAAAGCATTCGGGTTCTGAGTCACGTAGCGCTCGGCAAACTTGAGCATGAAACGATCAATCTTCTGGGCCTCCCCAGGCAATCGAAAGTGTTGCAGGAATTGACGAAGTGCATCCACAAAACGTCGCTTAGAGAAGTCCATTTGGTCCACAAATGCATGCATAATGGCAATGTTCTCGGCATCACCTTCACCAAGATATTCCCCTATCATGGCCTTATCCAATCGCTCATTGCGAAACAGGAAACTTGCAATGTCTTCGGGCGAGTTCGAACGTATAAAGCCCTCTTGTATGAAAAGCTTGATCCCCCGCTTGGCCTTGAAGTTGAATTGCTGAATTGCATTCATCAGCGCAGTTTTCCTCTGCTTGACCTTCTCGATCTGGCTTGGATCGTCCTCTGCCACGGGTGTCGACCGACCAGTACTGCCATCGGTACCCTCGACCCTTGGAGAGGATAAAAAGGTCGCAGCGTTGGTGTCTATCGACTCTCTGGAATTATCGATGGATTTCTGGGACAACAGATTTGTAACCCCAGTGGCTGGGTCATCAATTCGCTGAGAGGCCCAGTTATCAAGTGACTGTAGAATTTCCACTAAACATTCCAGCGCCTGGTTCTTCAGAATATACTCAGACGGCACGTTTTGGGAAGTTGGCTGCTGAATACTGGCTATGTGCGCTGTCGTGAGTGTCGGAGGTAGAGTCCCGCTTTGATGCCAATCTGCGCCCACTTTTGATACCTTGACATGGTGTTCTTGATAGTGCTGCTGTTGGACTGCGGAAACTGCGACAGGTACGCTCGAGTATCGTGAAACTTGTTCAATGATGCTGCAAAAACAATCAATACTGGCCCAAAGAGATTGAAACATGAGGTGATACAAACGTACTTTTGAAAGATATTCTCCAGCGCTGTGCGATCACAGTCATAATTCAGATATATCTCCACCAATGCACGAGGATCATCGGCCAGTCGCTCCACGAGCTCCATAAAGTACTGCTTCTGAAAAGCAGGCGAGTTCCGTTTTTCGAGAATAGCCAGGTAAATCTCTTTCAAGAAGACCTCAAGCTCTTTCTGTGAGGAATTAGAACCAGTCAGACAAAGAGGATAAGCATATGAACAAACCTTCATCATCACTCTCATATGCTTCAACATGAGCCAGAAGATTTCGCAGCAAACCTCGAAAACCCTGGGCACTGAGCTCGACCCGTTTCGACTCAGACTGAGGCACAAATGGGGCCGAACAGCTTGCAGAAGCGTCATAGCATCGGAGCTGTTGGAGCTATTCCTGATGGTTAGGAGCGGGGAGGTGAAGACCGCGACATTATTGTTGATGAGGTAATGAACGAGGTGCAAGGACAACAACTTGGATCTCATATTCTGAGATTTGAGATCTTGCTGCTGTTCGTGGCTGAGGATTTTATGGCTCAGTTTGCATAGAGCTCGAAATACTAGGAAAGCGTCTTTGATGTAGATCTCGTCCTCATCATCGTCGGTAGCTCCGTCGCCGTCTTCCCTGTCTTCCCCGGATGTGCTTGACAATGACTGCGTCCTTTTTTGGCCAAGCTTGGCGCGGGTAACCATTGTGGGCGCGTTATCAGCGACCGACGTGACATCTTTGCCTGACTCGAAACTTTGCAGAGTAAGCTTTTCCCCAGGCTCCTTCGCGACGGGTTGATCGGGTGCTACAACAGAGGCTGCATCGGATGCCTGATCCTGATCGGTTGACAGGGGCACCTCAACCGTTTCAGCTGTCGCAGCGTCAGGTGTATTCTCCTGTCCCTTTTCCCCTTCACGCAAATGTAATTCTTTCAGCTCAAGTCTCACACGAACCCTGTCGAACACTGTGCTGACCATCTGTGTCAATGACCCTTGGGCAATCTGTTGGTTTTGGTTAGACTTGGAGTAGATGAAGATGTTATATATCTGGCGGACAGCCTTTAGGAGACCAGCTCCGTGTACCACAATCTTATCGTTCAGGACTGCCGCAAGAAGTGACTTGATAATTTGTTGCTGTATCTCAATGGGAGTGGCTTCGTTCTCGAAGCAGTCACAGATGGCATCGATTGCCCGTTCTATGAGAGGAGACTGTTCTGGCGTGGCCTCGGTTTCCGAGCCCTTGTGATCCTGAGATGATGGAAAGGCAAAGTAAGAGTAAGTTATGAGTTTCCCGATACAGTCGAGCGCTGTGACTTGCAACGGGATGCTGAAGCTCTTTGTCGCAAGCTGAAGAGGGCGAAATATAAGCTCCGGGTCGATCGGCTGACGGTCTGATTGCTTAACGTTCGCCAACGCGCTCTTTACGGCATCATCAAGTACTTTGCTCTTCTTGGCATCCTTGGACGCCCCAATTGTCTCGAGAGCGTTGACTATGAACACCGCAGAGCTGACAGTCACGGAGCGCTGAGTGGCATACGTAGCAGTCGTTGATCTCGAGTCCGAGCGCAGTCGGGTATCTGGTGTAAGCTCAAACTGGGGTATAGGGTCGCCATCCTGCTTGTCGCCCACAGAGTCTCCTGGAGCAGTCTCCGCCTGATCGTTTCCCAAACTAGCGACGTCGTCTGCTTTTGATTCCGGTTGAGGGGAGCCGTGCTTCTCGGGACCTTCAACATCATCGGCGTCGTTCGGAGGACTCGGAGGTTTGTCCGCGGTCTCTGTTACTTCGGTGGAGTCTACTTTGATCTGTGGTGAATTGGAGTCTGTAACTTCCTCTATATCAATTTTCTGCCTTTGTGATTCGAGAGGAAGAGAAGGCTTGGTGTCTTCCTCGACAACATCTTCAGTCTCAGCAGATGTTGAGGTATCGACAGTGTTCTCTTTGTTGTCTCCCTGCGGCAGTACCACAGATGTCCGATTTGGCTCCTGCGAAGAGCCATTCTCAACATCCGCCATTTATGCGAAACTCCGAGCGGAGCATTCAATAACTGAAACAACAAATACACATGGAACGTAGAATCGGATTAAGGAAAAAATGACGAAAGGAGATAGAAACCGTGTGCCGGAGTATCGCGCTATTGCATGGGTCCTGGAGCTGATGCGGCTGCGTGTCTTTCTCCCGCAGGCGGACAAATATACGGTGACCGGCGCGTGCCAGAGATGCGGCACTGGGCTTACGTAACTCGGGGACGGCCGCCCGCCCTGGAGAAATCCGGCGAGAACTATTCCGATTGCTCACCGGACGCTCAACAGAAAAGTTCCAGGAGCTGCATCCCCAACTCTCTGATACAGGCCCTACCACTTGCCAGACTCATCCTCCGGCACCATCTCCATCTTATCTTCTCTTCTCTTTTGTGCCGCGGCCTTTTAATTGTATCATAGCTACAGCATTTGGCACCATGGTTGCCTCTGCTGTCCGAATGCGCATTCCCAGCGCCATGTTGTCAAAAGGCGGCCTCTGCGTGAGGCGGCCTCAGGTTATTCACAGATTCAAGGACGCTGTCCAGTATGGTTCACCTTGAACATTTCATGATCAATCTGTATTGAGAATGATACTAATAAAATTTTCCTGATCCATAGACCTCAATTGCCCGCCTTATCCGCCCTATCCCGTTTCTATGCCTCGAAGTGTATGTCGTCTCTTCTTTTCCTAGTCTCCATCACGTTTGCGTATTGAAGACTTGATCCTAACTATGCGCCTCTACAGCCTTTCCCCCTCACACCATTATCAGCATGCCTGCCCTCTCGCCCACAATGTCCGCAGGAAACATTGGAGCTTGGCAGAAGAAGGCCGGTGACTCCCTGTCGCCGGGTGATGTCCTCGTGGAAATCGAGACCGATAAGGCGCAGATGGACTTTGAATTCCAAGAGGAGGGTGTCTTAGCCAAGGTTCTGAAGGAGACTGGTGAGAAGGATGTGGCTGTCGGCGCTGTATGTATTGACTGAAAATTTTTCCGTGGTCCACTGAGCCCCATCGCTAATGCGCAAAACCAGCCTATTGCCGTTCTTGTGGAGGAGGGAACAGATGTCGCCCCCTTTGAGAGCTTTACTCTGGAAGACGCCGGTGGTGATAAGGGAGCTGCTCCCGCCAAGGAGAGCAAGGAGGAGCCCAAGGCTGAGGCTGCACCAGCCCCCTCGACACCCGAGCCTGCGCCCGCCGCTCAGGAGCCTGAGACATCTACTGAGAAGCTCCAGCCTAGTCTTGACCGTGAGCCCAACATCAGCCCTGCTGCCAAGGCATTGGCCCTGGAGAAGGGTGTTCCAATCAAGGCTCTCAAGGGTACTGGACGTGGTGGTCAGATCACCAAGGAAGATGTGGAGAAGTACAAGCCTAGCGTTTCTGCCGCGCCTACATATGAAGACATCCCTCTCACATCTATGCGCAAGACCATTGCTACCCGCCTGCAGCAGTCGATGAGAGAGAACCCTCACTTCTTCGTTTCGACTACTCTGTCCGTTACGAAGCTCCTGAAGCTCCGCCAGGCTCTCAACGCATCTGCTGAGGGCAAATACAAGCTCTCCGTCAACGACTTCCTTGTCAAGGCTTGTGCCGCCGCTCTTCAGAAGGTTCCTGCCGTCAACTCGAGCTGGCGCGAGGAGAACGGCCAGGTTGTCATCCGCCAGCACAACACTGTTGATATTAGTGTTGCCGTTGCCACTCCTAATGGTCTTATTACTCCCGTTGTCAAGAACGTGCAGGGTCTTGGCCTTTCCAACATCTCTAACCAGATCAAGGACCTCGGTAAGCGCGCTCGGGAGAACAAGCTCAAGCCTGAGGAGTACCAGGGCGGCACTTTTACCATCAGCAACATGGGCATGAACCCTGCTATTGAGCGGTTCACCGCTGTCATCAACCCTCCTCAGGCTGGTATTTTGGCCGTCGGCACCACCCGCAAGGTTGCTGTTCCCGTTGAGACTGAGGAGGGTACCTCTGTTGAGTGGGATGACCAGATTATCGTGACTGGCAGCTTCGACCACAAGGTTGTCGATGGTGCTGTTGGTGCCGAATGGATCAAGGAACTGAAGAAGATTGTTGAGAACCCCCTTGAGCTTCTTCTGTGAATGAAGTTCGACCAATCGAAGTTCCGAAATATCAAATGTAACATTTGAGATCGGGGTTTTTTTATGGTCTCATGTAATATGTACCCGAAAATACCTACTATAGTTCATTCCGACCATTTCTGGTCACTTGAGTACGATTCCAGCATTTCAATATTGATTCCTTTTGTTACTTCAGAACCTTTTAACCCACATACTGGCCTACTCCTATCGTGTAGAACAAGAATGACTAAGACGATTCCAAAACTCGTTAAGGTGTGGTTTTAGTCCAGATTGGCGATGCTGCGTTCTTGGATGATCTGAGGACGGCTCACGGTGCGTTTGACCGCTCGCAACCATCGATAACCAGATCGACCAGGACTGCTGCAGGCCTTCGCTGTCACTAGAGGGAAACCATTGACGCGACAACCGCAGACTGACCAAGCCGACCGCGAAGACAGATTTCCACTTTACTTCGAACTTCCGTGCGACTTGCTAAACATCATAGGACGAAGGTAAATTGGATTGGGGTTGTCTAAACAGGTGATGGGCCGGTTCATGATGCCTTGGCAGCGTTTATTATGGACCATGTGCGCAGTGCCCACTCCCGCCGAGGGAGTGATGTCATACTTGTGAGCCAAGTGCAAGGGGCCCTTGCATTCTGCATAAATAGAGGCAGTCATCACCTGCCCAAATTCACTTTCCGGTGTCCCACCATTACTTACTATCTTCGATCTCCGAATCTCTCAATATCACCTTATTCCCTGTAAGTGATGTTGTACCATATTACGTGGGCGACCCTGGAGCAGCCGCTCCGCGATATGCCGCCAATTGTTCACCATTACGACCTTTAATACGGAGCACTGACTGGTAATAGATCTTTTCTCCGTCACCTCCAGCCCTTTGTACCACAGAAATCCTACAAACATGTCTTACGCAGAAGCCGCGGCCAAAGGCCCTAAACAAACACCAGAGGAGGTATGTGTTCCACCCACGTTTCTCCTGCTTCCCATGAGGATGCTATATCTCGAAAGGCGATCTGACTGACCGGCTCCGACGTAGGCGTAAGTTGTTATTTTGAAATTGGCCAAGTCCCCGAGGACTATTGACTGACTCTCCACAACGCAGTCGCGCCCCTAACCCACCACGAACCTATCTGAGTGAAACAGCGGAAAGCACCGCCTCCCTAGTTGACGTCGACTCCCCGCATGTGGTTTCAGTTGACTCGGATTTCCTCAACCAGGACGTGAAGACCACTACCCAGGCTGATCGTTTAGAAAGAGAGGCACAGGAGAAAGAGGAGCGGAAAGAGCAGGCAAAGGTGGAGAAGGCGAAAGCGAAGGCTACACGCGCCGGCCATGTCGCCAAGCGCAACCCTGTCTTCCTCGGAAATGCCGTGCTGTACGCGCTGGTCGGTGCTGCGCTCGGATATGGCGCATACAGGAAGCATGCCGAAGGCAAGCTCTCGTGGAAGCTTGTTGGAACATGGACTGGGATCGTTGGAGCCTTCAGTACGGTCGATTACTTTGTCAGCAAGTGAGTTTCCAGCTTCTTTCTGAACCCCGGCATCCTGCGACGGGGAAAGCTCAGAGGACATTTTGGGCTAATGCAATTGAATTTAGGTGGCTGCTACAAAACAAGTACCCTCCTAACTAGGTTTGATGCGTCCTGGATATGATATGACCAGCGGCCCAGTGCTTCTTGAGTTCATTTCCACACATGGAGTTATGACTGGGTGAACCAAGCTGTTTTACATGAATTCTAGGGGAAATGGAGTTGGCGATTCTTTTCTTGTCATGTTGTAGCTTATTCGAAGATATTAAACCCACTCGTCTCTCAAGTTGAAGTCACACCTAGCATATATCCTTTAGCTGTTTCTGATATGTTTGGCACATTCAGCAACAAGGTGGATAAAAGTGGTATAGTAATATAGCCACTGCGGAAATCCCATCGCATATATATGCGAAAATGAAATTGACTGATAGTTGCAAGGTCTAGATAGTGACTAGCCACCTTTCAAGTAGTGACAGCTCATGTGTCAGAGGCGGTCAACGACGTCAAATTCGCATCCGCCGCAAGAACATGTGGCCTCGGCCTTCCACAATTATTGGCAACGCTGGGCGGATACCTTGAGCTATAACTTCTTCCTGACACCGATTAACGGCTCCTGTTGACTTTAATTTCGAACATCCGTCTGGAGAGCATTGCGTCTTTTGCCCGATCATATGGAGCATACCCTGTTCTACCCGTGAAACCATACGCAAACAAACAACTCTCTTCGATAGCTCCTGCAAAAGCAAATATGGTGTGTGAATCCCACCATGGCCATCGATCGAAGCGCATTATTTGATGACTGACATATGACTTCCCTACTTGATCACAGAACTCCCTTTTCAATTCAGCACTCAAGCAGTCTTCTGCTATCCGCCGCGATCTGGACACATTCTCTCAGTCGCCCGCAACGACATCTGCAGCTTTACAAGGTACGGCTCGAAGACATTTGCTCCCACGCCAGATTCGGTACACGGCTACAAGTTCACCGCTGAGGGTTTCTTTTATTATTTTACCTGGCTTGCTAATGCGCAAATAATTAGGCCAGATTGCGGCTTCCTTGGCGTCGCTATCACGGACTATCGATGACTACTCCGCCTTGTCCAAGAAGGAACTGATACCTGAGAAGCAAGAAAAGGCGTTTGAACGAGTGAAGAACTTTCGCGCTGAGCTTGCCGATTACAGGACACATTTTGATCAACTCCGAAAGGAGCGGGAAGAAGCTGTAAGCCCTTCCTAGTCAAGCCCATCCCCCTTGTACATGAGTCCTGGCAATAGGTAACTGTTGTACACTGGTGGATAGCAATCGGTGACAAATCGCAATGAGCTGCTTGGCCGACGACCACATCACGCTGCGACTCCCGAGAACCCGTACGCCCAATCTTCCCTCCCGCAATCTTCGCCTTTCGCAAACGCTTCATCATCCCGCTCAGGACTCAGCTTTGGAGCTTCACCGGCGGATTACAACAGGGAGACGCACGCGCTTCGAGAGCAATCGTTCTTTGCCAACACGAACTCGCAACTGGATGAATTTCTCGATCGAGGCCGCGCTGTTCTGACAGACCTTGGGCAACAGCGCGAGGTGCTGAAAGGCACGCAGCGCCGGCTATACAGTGTTGCAAATACCTTGGGGGTGAGTGGTGACACGATTCGAAAGGTAGAACGAAGAGCAAAGCAGGACAAGTGGATATTTTGGGGGGGTGTTCTCGTTTTCTTTCTCTTTTGCTGGTTGGTAGTACACTTTTTGAGGTAAATTTTATGTGTCTATATACTCATTTCTTTGGGACTGTTCCTCCTGCGTCATGCATTTTCTTGCTTCGGGTGGGTTTGAAAGCGCAGGCGTTCCGGTCTTCCTTGATCTTGTTTGCTTCCGATTTATGTTTGTCGGGTTGCGCGCTATTGTTCTCAAGTTCTTGAGTTTCATCTGGAGTCAGCTCACCATCAAGAATGACGTCCAAAGGAGATTTGCGTTTCCAGCCATCCATACGGAGGATGCGCACTAGAACTGCGATTGCACTAGACATCGATAGTAGGGTATGAACGGACGGAAAGAGCGGAAGGGAGCATGTAGTTGAGTTCCTCCAGGCCGCTGTTGACAGGGCCAATCTTCAGTTCGCATTCCAACGTGTTGGTCTCGGCTTTCTGACCTTAGACAGGTAATTCCTTTCTCCCCGGTGCTACCAGATGGAAGACTGAGGTATCCAGTAAGACGCTCGAATGCACAATAAAACATGTTTACCTGCAATTGATCTCACAGGACTTGCTTGAGGGAACCCAGTCCCAGAACATTGGTCAGTTGTTGAGGTTCTCCAGAGAACGGATAAATAGCCCACACAACAAACAGACCAAGCAATCAGACGATCAGGCTGATGTTAGTCAGTGACAGGGCAACAACAAGTTAGCAAAAACAATATCCGCCACACAGGTGCTTTTATCGTATAGAGACAGCTATCACAGAAAGCAACGATGTTTCCCCAGAAAATTTAAGGCACTTAGTTCAATCTCCATGTGACGCACGAAGAAGTTCCGCAACACACTGTGGAGATGATCGGAAACGGAGCGAATTAGCCGCCCCAAATCCTTCTCACCGGCAACCGTCACCTCTTCCTCCTTCCTTTTCTTTCTTCCCTTTCTTCCACATCCAGATCATCTCCATCCTTCTCTCTACTCAATTCATTTTCTTTCAAGGATAGATCAATCTTTGTCTTCGGATCATAGACAAAATGTTCGCCGCTCGTCAGTCCTTCAATCTCCTCCAGAAGCGGGCCTTCTCTGCCTCTGCCAGCCAGGTATGTATACTCAGTCTTCCATCTCTCGGCTCGGTACTTCGGAGCTTTGCCAATGTGCTAACCATGTCCATTTTTCATCTTTAGGCCTCCAAGGTCACTGTCCTCGGTGCCGCTGGTGGCATTGGCCAGCCTCTCTCTCTCCTGCTCAAGCTTAACCCCCGTGTTTCTGAGCTTGCTCTCTATGATATCCGCGGTGGCCCTGGTATGTCTCCGGACATCCGAAACTTGCATTGCCAAACTTCCAATATTCCAGTATACTGACTCGACGATCTTTTTGACAGGTGTTGCTGCTGATCTGAGCCACATCAACACCAACAGCACCGTCAGTGGCTACGACCCTACTCCCTCTGGCCTCCGCGAGGCTCTCAAGGGCTCTGAGATCGTCCTCATCCCTGCCGGTGTTCCTCGCAAGCCCGGCATGACCCGTGACGGTATGTTGATTCGCCTTTTCTATGCAAGCATAATTACTGACGTAGCGATTGGCAGACCTCTTCAACACCAACGCCTCTATTGTCCGTGACCTTGCCAAGGCTGCTGCTGAGGCTTCCCCCGAGGCCAACATCCTGGTCATCTCCAACCCCGTACGTATCCCGAGCAGTCATATCCAGATCAGCAGCACTAATGTCACGGCCAGGTTAACTCCACCGTCCCCATTGTCGCTGAGGTGTTCAAGTCCAAGGGTGTCTACAACCCCAAGCGTCTCTTCGGTGTCACCACCCTCGATGTCGTCCGTGCCTCCCGCTTCATCTCCCAGATCAAGAAGACCGACCCCGCCAACGAGGCCGTCCCCGTTGTTGGTGGCCACTCCGGTGTCACCATCGTTCCTCTGCTCTCTCAGTCCAACCACCCCGATATTGAGGGCGAGACCCGCGATGCGCTCGTCAACCGTATCCAGTTTGGTGGTGATGAGGTCGTCAAGGCCAAGGATGGTGCTGGTTCCGCTACCCTCTCCATGGCCATGGCCGGTGCTCGCTTCGCCGAGTCCCTCCTGAAGGCCGCTCAGGGCGAGAAGGGTGTCATCGAGCCCACCTTCGTTGAGAGCCCCCTCTACAAGGACCAGGGCGTTGACTTCTTCGCCTCCCGTGTCGAGCTCGGCCCCAACGGTGTTGAGAAGATCCTTGAGGTTGGCAAGGTCAATGCCTACGAAGAGAAGCTCATCCAGGCTGCTCTCACTGATCTCAAGAAGAACATTCAGAAGGGACGTGACTTCGTCGCTCAGAACCCTTAAATGTCTTCCCCAATTAAGTGTGAATTATTCTGCAGCTACGCTCTTCCCTGTATAACAGTCACTTGTGTACTTTGTCATTAGCCTATTATTCCCGCCTTTTCTATATGCTTTGCATCCCCGCATCGACTTTGATACCGGATGAATGCGGCTGCAGAGTTTGAAGCATTTCTCTTCCCTTGACGAGGATTTGATGACTGGCGAGAACTTAATGGGAAAAGCAGATGGCATGTATGTCCTATAAATGAAAGTTTCAATTTGTTCCTAAATTCGTTCTTCGCTCGTATCCTTTTGACATATAGTATCCCTGAGCAAGACAAATGCCCTCAGAAGGATTCATCCTCAACAGTCTTGCTAGCTTTTCTCAGTATCAGGCATATTTCCTCCCTTGGACGAATAAGTGTTACGTATCATTCGCCGATTTTGGACGTATCATAAACTGCATCGCAGAAAAACAAACACAAAAGCGAGAATGATCAAACGGCGCTTGAGCTAGATAAAATCAAACCGAAATGATCAGCAACTGTCTCTGGAGCAAAAGCAAGGGTATTCCTAAACGACAGTATCGCAGAGAAGCAAGTAGAGAAGGAAATTCATCAGCATAGTGAATTCGAAGCGAATTGTCGTGTTACGTATAGCTTCGCATGGCATCCATGTAGCCTGTCCCGCCGCGAAGGTCATGGTCGAAAGTCTCAGCGACTTCAAGGACACGTTTGATGTGTTCCATCGACAACGGAGTCTGTTCGTTAACTGCAAGCGCTTGAGCCGTGCGGACAGAGTTCTTAATCTGGAAAGAGTGTTAGCAACGGTCGATAGGTGCTTGGAGAAGGTTACTTACCTGGCGTCCATTCAGATTGTGGCGTGCCAGCGCATCAAAGTCCTTGTCAGTGAATTTTGCAGCCTGCACGCCCTCTTTCGCCTGAACCTTTTCCAGGAACATTTTCCAGACACTTCTCTTTGCTTTGGTGGTAAGGT